ATGATATGATCATCTCAATAGGTAAAGAAAAATCCTTTGACAAAATTCAGCATCATTTCATGATAAAAAAAATTGTAGAAACTGGGAATAGAAGGAATGTGCCTCAACATAATAAAGGCTATATCTGACAAGCCTATAGCCAACATCATTCTAAGTGGAGAAAAGAGAAACCACTTCCCCTACAGTCATGAACAAGACAAAGGTGTTCACTTCCCCCACTCTTATTCAATATAGTCTTAGAATTCCTGGCCAGAGCAATAATATAGAAGAAAGAAAGAAAAGAGATTCAAATGGGAAGGAGAAATCAAACTATATCTTTTTGCAATGATATGATAGGGTCTTATACCTAAAAGACCCTTAAAAACTCCACCAAAAACTCTCAGAAATCATAAACACAGCAAATAGCAAGATACAAAAATCAGTGGCCTTCCTATACACCAACAATGAATAGACTCAGAAAGAAATCAGGAAAGCAATCCCACTTACAATAGCCTCAAAAAATACCTAGGAATAAATTTAACAAAGGAAATGAAAGAACTGAAGAAAGAAATTGAAGAAGATGTCAGAAGATGGAAAGCTCTCCCATACTATGGATCAGAAAAATCAGTATTGTGAAAATGGCTGTACTACCAAAAGCAATCTACATGTTCAATGCAATCCCCACCAAAATTCCATGACAATCTTCACAGAGATAGAAAAAAAAAATCCTAAAATTCATATGAAAGTACAAAAGACCTCAAACAGCCAAAGCAATTCTGAGCAAATAGAAAAATGCTAGAGGTATTATAGTACCTGACTTCAAACTATACCACAGAGGTGTAGCATAAAAACAGCATGGGATAGGCACAAAACCAGACATGAATATCAATGGAACAGAACAGAAGACCCAGACATAAATCCATGCAGCTACACTCAACTGATATTTAACAAAGGAACCCAAAATATACGGTGGAGAAAAAATAACCTCTTCAACATATGATGCTTGGAAAACTGAATATTCACATGTTGAAGACTGAAACTAGATCCCTGTCTTTCACTTTGTACTAATATCAGTTCAAAGTTGACCAAAGACCTGAATGTAAGACCTCAAACTTTGAAACTACTACAGGAAAGAATAGGGAAAACTCTGGAACATACAGGCATCGGCAATGGCTTTGTAAATAGAACCTCAATAGCTCACTTAAGAGAAAGGATTGACAAATGAAACTTCATCAAAACATAAAGCTTCTGTACAGCAGAGGAAACAGTCACTAGACTTAAGAGACAGCCTAAATAATGGAAGAAAATCTTCGCCAACTATTATTCTGCTAAGGGACAAATAACCAGAATTTACAGGATGCTAAAAAAACTAAACTCTGAAAGAATCAACAATCTAATGAAAAAAAATGGGCACATAAACTGAACAGACAGTTTTCAATGGAAGAAATGTAAATGGCCAATAAATACAGGAAAAAGTACTCAACCTCTCTGACCATAAAAGAAATGCAAATCAAAGCTACATTAAGATTTCATCTCACCCCAATTAGAATGGCTATCTTAAAGATCAGAAACAACAACAAATGTTGACAAGTACTTGGTGAAACAAGAACCCTTATACACTGATGATGGGAATATAAATTAGTATAACACTATGGAAAGTGAGAAAGAGTCCTTTAAAACCTACAAAATTGAACTAACTACCATATGATCCAGTGATACCACTCTTAGGCATATACCTGATCTAATGTAGGTCAAAATATAATAAAGACACTTGTCCATCCATGTTTATGGCAGCACTATTCACAATAGCCACATTATAGAACTAGTCCAGACACCTCATGACTGGTGAATAGATGAAGAAAATGAAAATATATATATTTTATATATATATATATAATATATATATATATATTATATATATATATATAATGGATATTATGTGACCATAAAAAGGAATGAAATTATGTTGTGTTCAAGTAAATGGATGGAACTAAATACCATCATATTAAGTGAAGTAAGCTAAGTTCAGAAAGACAAAGGTCACATTTTCTCTCATATGTAGAAGATAGATCCAAAAGACAAATTTATACACAAATACAAACATGATCATATACACATTTTTATAAAGAACATGTTTGCAATAGTGAGACTGTTCAATGGTCCTCAGGGGAGGAGGGAAAAGCAAAGAGAATGACAGAGTCAACAATATCAAAATATATTGCATCTGTGTAAGAAAGATGGCATGATGAAAAGCACAGAAAGTAGTTGGACAATAGGGAGAAGGAGAAAGGGAGAATAGTAAAAGGCACTAATCTCAGTAAAGTGCATTATATTCACAGGGAAAATACCATCAAGTAACCCCTTGGAACAATGAATATGAACTTAAAAATGAAACACAAAATTGTAAAACAGGTCCTATTGGGGAGTGGTACTTGTGGAAGGGGGAAAGTTGAATGGAGGAGATAAAGGAGGGTGAATATGACTGATGTACTTACACACTTATATGAAATAGGGCAATGAAACCTGTTTATAATCATTTTAAGTAGGGTGAGGGGGATGAAGGAGAGACATAGTGGGGGTGAACCCATCCAAGGTACAATGTAAGCATATACAGAAATGTCACAATGATTCCTACCATATAACTTAATATATACTTATAAAAACATAAGAAAAAAAAAGAAATGAAACAACAGGTGGAGCAAGTAGAAAATAAAGTGGTAGATGGTAGATTTAAATCTAACCGCATGAATACCCCTGTTAAAAGCAAAGGATCTAAATAACCCAATTAAAAAGCAAGATGCGTGTATCTGTTGCTTATAAGAAAACTACTTTAAGTATGAAGACACAAATAGTTAAAAAGTAAAAACATAAAAAAAGTTATAAATACTAGAGTTTAAAGAACACAAATCTAACAAAAACTGGATTGGCTATCTTAATTTTAAAACAAAATAGGTGATAGAGCAAATAATATTACCAGAGATGATAAGAGCAATTTTGTAATTATAATGACATCAATCCATCAAGAACAGAAAATCCTAAACACTTCTGCTTTATTAACTGATTAAGAAATACATGCAGCAAAAAAAAAAAAAACCCTGATAGAGTAACAAGAAAAAATGAAGGCAAATTTATAGATTTTAATAGCCCTCTCTCAATAATTGATAAATTCACTTGAATTTAATGTGTCTAAATTAATCTAAAATATACTAAGTGGGCTTTTTATAAAATCATTAAGAAAACAAGATTATTCTGTTTCCAACAAAATATTTATAATAAAAATGAATTTTAGACTTTATCTTGTCCAATATCTCTATCACTACAATTATATGTTTGATATTTTTTCTGGGCAGTGTAAATTTTGGTACACTTTGATCTAAGGTTTTACATGATCAAATGAAAATATATTCATATGACTTAGGTTTTTCTATTTATGGTTCAGATTGAATAGGACTGAGAATTTCTGGTGACATAACCAAGCCCTAAAGAAGCAAAGTTTGAGACTGCAATAGTGAATGTTGGAGAAATGCACCCAATAAATATTACAGCCCTAGTTTGTTCTATCTACAGGAGTAATTCAGTCTGAAATGCTGTGTGTGGAAAATAGGAAAAGATTAGACTGCTGGATAAAGTAAGATACATCTGATTCTAGAATTTTTACTTCGAACAAAATTTTAAAATTACATGACATGCTTTGTATTTTCTGAATCCTGCTCACTTTCCTGGGCCAGGGCAGGGTGGGGGAATAAATCTCCCTTCCAGTCCTTTAACCTTTCTACTTATGAAGATCTACACTTTTAAAAATATTCCTAAACTGAAGTAATTAAACCAAATCCCATCTAAACATGTAAAGTCCCTTAAATGTATGTTGCATTTAAATTTAGATTTATGTTGTTCAAGTTCCTCTTAAGACATTACCAAGTTTAAGTCTTCAGTCTTTAAACTGGCATTTATACTATGCTTACATACATTTTTAAGTATGTGTCAACATTAAATAGTTTGTATTGTTATATATATAAGTATCCTTTGTTTCAAAAAATTCAAAACTGTCATATTAACTATCTTGATAAGTGTTTTATGTGTTTGCTTGGTCTGTATATGCATATAGTTAGCTCTCTTCTCCCCTGCTCCCCGCCCCACCCCAAACATTAAAACAGAAGCAGCATAGTGGTGAGAGCACAAGGCTTTGAAATGTCAAGACCCTGTCCATCACATACTAGCTCCAACCTTGTACAATGTTCCTAACTCCTCTGCCTGTTTTTTCAGGCTGTACATAGTGCATTATAAGAATTCATTAAGATAAATAAAGATCTTAGCCTACAACCCAGAACACAGTGAGCACTCAAATACAATAGCTACCTTTGAACTGCAAAAATTTTTAAGGCAAGGCCCACTCAAGGATTATAATTATTGCATGACAGCATGACAACAATGTATCACAGCACTGTGGAATACTTAAAAATTATCATTTAACCAAAATGAACATTTCTTAAAGGCAGAGAAAACCAAAAGTAATAATACAGAATAAAAACAACCTAGTTTAAATTCCAACTCTGGCATGTTATTTAAATAACCTATACTGGTTGGTTATTTTATTCTATTTGGTAGTCTGTAAGTTTGACGTGACCTGCACACAATAGATGCTCAATGAATGCATCCTGAGAGATTGAATAACAAATTGTCTACAACATTTTCAACATCTTTATCTGTCTGATAGTATAAAATCTCTCAACTTAAGGGCAAACCATAAAATCAGGTAATGTTTCTTAATGTATCAGTCACTAATATTCATGTATTTCTTTCTAATGATAAAACAGATGGCACTTAATGCTCCTTATGATCACTCCTTGATCCACTCCCTAGGTCCCCTACAATAAGAAACCCAATGGGAATCCAGTGTCCACACACAAAAAATCATGCTGAAAAGCTTTAGCATGTCTTGAAATCTGCTGCATTTTCCCAAGCAAAATGCCATTACCTCTGATGTTCATAGTCCTTTAAAGATTTCTTTGCTTATTTCACAGGTCTCCTGTCATGGCCGGAGGTCTCTTTGCTGTGGATCGAAAATGGTTTTGGGAATTAGGTGGGTACGATCCAGGTTTAGAAATCTGGGGAGGAGAACAGTATGAAATCTCTTTTAAGGTAAGCCACCAAGACCCTCTTCACACAATGTCTACAAAATTTTGAAAATTCTGATAGAATTCCATCACTTTGCTCTGTGACCTAGGTTATAAGATGGATTGATGACACTTCCTAAGAGGGCTTTTGGATGAGAGAATGATGTTTCAGTTAGACATAAGCCACACCATATGCAAAAAGAATTAATTCAAACTCTCACTTATGAGCAGGAAACTTGGCGTGCCAACAGACTTACTGCTCCACAGGCAAGTGTACTCCTTTAAAGCACTTAGAGCTCATAGACAGAGGGCTTAAGATATGTTAAGAAATAAGAAATCAAATTATTGCAGTTTTGGCCTTTTGTATTTGATCAAGAAATAACAGCTCAGATTTTGATCATAACCAGTTATTCTAAAATTCCAATAAATGAAAACTAAACTTAAAAAATATAAATGACAAACTTAAGCTCTTCATAGAAGTCCCAAATGAGCAAGTTTTTGATATATTTTTATCTGAAATTGCCCAGGTCTGTACTTGTTTTACCAATCAATTCTCAGTTAAATTATATACTTTATTACATATCATATACATACATATATACACATTGCACACACATATATATGTATTTATGATACAGTATCAAATTTCAGGGCTTATAAATGAAAAATTACCACAACATATGATGAACAGTTAAGCAAAGCAAAGTAAACTGTGTAAACAGTCATACTCTAAACTGCCAAGATAAATTTTTTTCAAAAGCAATCTTGAAAAAAAAAAAAGCCCTCATTTTTTCTTTTTTCCCTTATCATAGTCATTATTTATATGGAAGCAAAGATTAATTCTTTTATCATTTATCATACAGAAACCTCTTAAGAAAATCAGCTTCTCTTAATTACTTCTATTATCAAATCAAACCAGTTCTTGCTGAAGAAAGATCCTGAACATAAAAGAATTCAGACATAAGAATCTAGCTAGAGTTCCTGAATTTGCAATAAGCAAATGGCAAAACTGATTTTTATTAAACTGTAACAACCATATTCAAGGGGTTAACAGAAATGTTTTCCCCAAAGGACCATAAGAAATACTTTCGAAGAGAAATAGGAGGCATCATTACAGGCCTCAGAGCCTCTAGAAATCTCCCTCTCACAATGCGGGCAGTAACCTTAAATACTATTTATTTAGTTGGTGCATTTTCACTCTTTCTATTTTCACTCTCACCTAATTTTATGTCTTAGATACTTTTTTTATACTTTTGTAGGTGCATCATTTTTAGTATTTTAATTTACCAATGTCTTTTGGGCTTCTCTGTTACAGCAATAGTTGCACACCTTGTTGTGGTGGATATGATAGAGGCAGGGATAATATTTGTGAATCTCTTACATTTACTTTGTGGTATAAGCCAGATGCTGAGTGAAGTCTTTTATGTGTACTAGCTAAATTTAAATAAAAATCACAAAAATAACTATGAAATTTTTAAATAAAAACCACAAAACAATAACCATAAAAGGTGGATACTATAATTTCACTTTACAGATAAAGAAACTGAGGCTTAAAGCTTTAAAGATTTTTAGATTAAAACATTTAAGTTTTAAAAATTAAATAAATTACCCAGCATCATTTAGGGATTAAAATGTCCCATTTCTGCCTAATTGCTGAGATTGAAGAGATATGAAATGGTTTGACACCCATCTATCTACCTACACCATTCCCAAGGTCACTGTGAATCCCTGACCTTACCAAATGATTTCTCTCATTGACCAGCAGCTAGTATCCTCATTATCATTTAATAGCACAGCAGCAAATTTTCTGCTGACCCTGGCAGAATAAAGTACTATTGATTCTCAAATATTGCCCAAATATTAGTTGGGTGCAAAGTTTATAATAACGCCTTCAACTCAAAAAGCAGAATATTATATTTGATCCTAGAATTAATGGAAACACAATATTACTGTATTTGTAATTCCATCAGAATTCAAAGGGAACTATTTGCTTTTCACAGTTCAGTACATTTTTTCTTTTTAAGTTCTTTTAATTCATAAATCCTTAAAGTTTAAAATGCTAAGAGAATTTTTAGAGAACAGGAAATACCTTTCTTTGAATAATGAACTGAATGATGGATAAAATTGCTATTGAAAGCCTGGAGAGTTTGCAGAATATACATTTGCATTCTAAATCAAAGGCTTTTTTTAAGACAAATATAAACTTGCATCTCACTCTGTGTCATCTGTACATATCATGTCTCTTCCGTGTGACCTGAGATTTTATTGCCCCATTTCCTATTTTTCTGTTATCTGTCATTCTGAAACATATAATTGGAAAGCAGTCCTGTCAGCTTTGTCTAAAAACCATGGCAACAGCACTGGAAGTTCGAGACTAAATTGCCCCAGGTTGTTTGGTTAGAATGACAGATTCTTTGGCAACTGTTATGTCCTAATAGGGTCACATTTCTGACATACTCCTTCATTCTTCTCACTACTGTTCACTGACCTTGGGGTTCCTGTCCTTCCCTACTAGTGTTTATTACATGAAGGAGACAAACTTGAACAGGCTTTGGTAGAATTTGCATTGAAGCAAGAAGAATTTTCTCTGTGTGAAAGGAATCAGAAGTCTGTACACAAATAGCTTTGTTAAATGATAATAACAGAGAAAATGAAAATGTCTGCATTTTTGGACATGTCCCTTAAGTTGTGATTAATCTTACAGTGTAAAGCACAGGAGGATATACATTGGCTGGCACTTAAGGTTTAGGAAACATGTCGATAATTGAGAGTTTACTCATTGTTTTAAGTCTAGATCTTAAATGCTATAATTCAAAAAACTTTTATGAGTTGTCATTATCAGGCATCTTTGCTTGCTTTTTACTCTTTAAATAAAAACTCATATCATGAAAGGTTTTGACAAGATCCTATTGCTAAATGAAAATATTTTCAGAAAATTGTGTTTTATATGAAAGACTGAGTTTTTGGCCAAACGGTACTTTGTTCACAAAGCTCTTTAGTTCCTTTTCTCTGTAAATATCTTTCCTTCATTTTTCTATACATCTCACTACATTATATGAGCAGCTTTTTTGCCATAACATAAAAGCCAGCACAGTATAATTCAGAGTTAGTTGAGCTCTCTAGAGAAATGTTCTGACCACATCATACCTCAGTCTTCAGTATCTTTAAACAGGAATCTGGACTGCTGCATGGCCCAGAATTATCCAGTTATCTTCTGAATGTTGCTAGGCTAGCCAGCTGCTAGGGAGGGGGGAAGCAACATTTAGACAATCACTCAACCAGCTTTTATTGAGCATCTAATTTATGCCAGGCATTGTTCCAGGAACTCAATTTGTAGTTGCACCTGGAAACAATGGGGAGAACAAGACAGAATGCAGAGTGTAGCATTCAAGAGATAGTCCACCTTTAAATATTGTCTACTGTTTAAATTATTCAAGTAATATCAAAACCATTTTCAGAAGGTCAAGCCCTTGATTGCAGAAAACTCCTCTTAGAAAATAAAACTGCGTAATGAACACTAATGAGGGACCCACAAGGTAAAAGAGCATTAAGATAAGTTGGTGCTTCCTTTTTGCATCCCCAGGAGCACACCAACAAAGCCATACATTGATCCAATATGGTTTTGGCCATCTGTAGTGTCAGAAAGAGGTTTTAATCCATAGTTGCAGCTGTGAAGAAATATTCAAGGCTCCAGGTGAGATGAGAAGAGAAAGAAGAACATGTCCTAGTATGAATGTAACAAAACCTGGGGCCCACAGCCTATCTCAAAACCCCTCTTATAGGATAATATGCTATGCAACCACCTTTCTGATGGGTAGTCATCCTTCCTATGTGATGATTTTAAGATCCAGACATATAAAGAAGCTCACTACATTCAACATTCACTTTTTTATTACAATGTGCCAACTCTGAGCTAAGCTCTTCAGATTTAAAGACAAATGTGAGAAGCTTCTATCGCTGGAGGAAGGTGGAGAATTAATTTACTGTAATTCCTCATCCTCAGTATTATTCAGGACATATTTTAGTAATTCAGCACATATATAATAGCCTCTCTTCCTCTAGTCTTAAACTTCTTTTAATTCATCCAACATTTCATTATTTTTTCCCTGACTTGCTTTATTTTCTCCTCCTAAAAGTTCATAGCTGTTCCTAATTACTACACAAATCAAATAAACACACTGGATCATAAACCATGAAACTTTCCATCAGTTATCTGCTGCTCTTCAATCTACTCTGCACATCACGTAACTATTTTCTTTCCTTCTCTGAAAAGATGAAACTCATACTTCCATTCCTATCCTTATTCATTTCACGGATTTTAACTAATCAATCAGACTGTGTTCTCTTCCTAAGAAATTTGTTTATTCTCTCCACAAATATTAATTATCAATTTTCTTTGTGTGTCCATATATTCTGCACAAACTAGGCTATGCACAAAAAGACAACACAAGTAGACACTCTTGAATCAAACACAACTGAGAAGAACATTTCACCCATTAAACATAAACACCAATTAAACAGAAAAGCACTAAAACAACATTAATAATTTCCTCTAAAATAAACACAAATAAACACATTAACATACATCAATCTTACTCACCAGTATTATAACACAAGAAAGGCAAAAGCTTTTCCTCCTTTGTTCCTGTCCACTAATTGGAGTAAAACCACAGGTGCACAAACCACACACATGTTGCATTCTCTAGAATGGCCAATTTGGGTTCTTCCAAACTGAAGTGAGATCCTAAAGACATGAAAAAGCTATCTTAATGCAGTAAAAAAATCCTCATGTTTGTTTTCTTTTTTACAATTTTACTCAGTCTTAGTTACCTCCCTTGCATCTAATTTGACAGCAATATTTCTACTACTCAGTCCTTCCAAACTCTTCAAACTAGTTTTGACATAAACAATTCTTTCTCATTTCATAGTTGTATTTTGTGATATTAATTATATGACATAATTACAATTTAAAAACTAGCATAATCATATTTAGGATGAAATACTCTGCCTTTGAGGCAAGCATGT